CTTATAAAATATAAAATGATAATATTTCAATAAAAACAAAACAGGAAAAACTGATGTAAGTATCCTAATATTTTTTGGTATATGTGTTTATATAAAAGTGAGATCATCTACATTTATATAGTATATGCTTTCTATACCTGATCAGAGTAAAGCCGATGAAACAGCGATTGAATACTAGTATGAAACTTCAAGAATGCCTGTAGAGATTACATAGATTGATTTACTTGTTTAAAAGATACTTAGCTAAATCAAGGTACATTGAGAATCAGAAGAATTGTAAAATACACAAAGCTAAACAAGATCTTTGCTAAAAATTTAAGTTGCTTATGTTTTTTTCTAATACCAAGGTAATTATATTTGTCATATATATGGGAACTATTACATAGCTATTGCTTGCCTGTGAACCTACAAACATATACATTTGATCATTTAATGGTACTATAACAAAAAACATGGATTGGCTGAATTCTCCTGGAATCTAGGAATATGTGAGAGAAAAATTTGACAATTACTTTCTACAAGCAAAACAAAGCAGGGGTTGCTGCTGTCTACTTCTACTGTAACAAAATGAGCAAAGAATGTTTTGTCAGTTTGTGTGGCCCTATTTTGCAACCTACTATAAAAACAAAATATTGCAATAAGGTCATGTTCCTGTGAATAAAAGAGTTAATGTTTAAATTCCTACAGCATAACTATATAACAATCTAGTGCAAAGATGCAAATGAATGAAAAACATGTTATTTTTAAGATGGTGTAAATAAACAGGGAGCTCATAGAAACAGGTTGTGCTGAGTTATTCTAAAGAGTGAACTGCACCGTGTGAAAACACTTATAAAGATGCAGCAAGAGGTTAACTGTGGTGTTGACCTCAGTTTTGCCCTTTCCCCTTGTTTCTGTAGAAATTTCCTTGTGGTTGAGATTGCTATTAAAATAGGATATTACAAACATTTTAAAATTTAAGAGCCAAAACTATACATTGGAGAGAATTTAAGTTGCTTTTCTCAGCATTTAGTGGCTAAATACCTCAAGTACACTGTAGTGAGTTAACATCCAATTATCATATTGGTCTGATATCTTTATTTTGTGTTCCCACACTTCTCTGGTATACTGTGAACTATGTTTTTGTAGGCAGAATTCACACACATGCATTTACTGCTTTTCAAATAGAGAGCAACAATGTTTTAAAAGAGATGTTTGATTTGGTTTGGTTTGGCTTTGGTATTTTTGAGACAAGTTCTGCCTGTAGCCCCAGCTTGCCTGGAACTCACTTTGTAGACCACACTGACCTCAATCACATTGAGATCTGCCTGCCTTGGCTTAAGTGCTGGGATCAAAAATGTGTGTCCCATTCTGTCTTTAAAGAGATATTTTACATGTTTCTTTGCATCAGCTATCCATGATGTAACTGAATAGATTCAGTCTTCACAGCCCCCCTCCTCCTAAAAGGTAAAAATCTAGTAATGATCCCTAAAGGCTTCTGGGAAAATGAACTTCAAGAAAAAAATGTCATGCCTCTGAGTCTGTATAATAATATTATATCAACATATGAGTCCTCAGTAAATGAGGTTTCCTTACATTCCTAAACCCAGTAGGGTAACTTGAAATTTTAAAGGGCAAAAGCCACATGGTTTTTACCTCCTAGGGATAATGGGAGTTCTGTTCCATCTTCCTAAGTGGGGTGTGCTGTGTATCTTCATGGCTGGAGTCACTTAAGTGTCTGCAGCATCATATATCATCATCTTCATCAGCTCACCCACATATACTCAGTGTAGAGTGCAAATGAGCTCCTTGACAACTTAATTTGGAAAAGAAATCTTCATTCCCTCTTTTTAATGACTACAGCAGGACTCCCCAGAGTTAGATGCTACATTGAACTCCAGCATGCCTAGCAAATGGCAGCTTCATATTAATGACCCAGGACCATCTTGTAGCCTGAACAGCCATGCCTTAGTTTTATTGTTGGTATCTCCCATTTTTCAGCATTACCTAGTTCCCCTTTTGAGTTAATGTCAAGTTCCAGAAGGCATTGAGTTGGAGGATGTTATCAGCACTTTGGAATGTTGAACTACTAATTTGCTTATCTACTTAATCATATTCTCTTCATTTAAAAATAGTCATCCTAGTTTATTATGCCATCATAGTACCTTAGGGTATAGGAAATACTTTTAAGTTTTTTAACATTATACTTAAGAAATGAACAGTTATTGTGATTCTGGATACATCATTATTATGAAACAGACTTATAGATATAATAAAATTAGCTGTTAATTAATTGAAAATAGAAAAGTTCTTCTTATTGATAATATACTTTCTTTTCAGTATTTTTATAAGGATCTTAAATTTTCCAGTTAGGTTTGAATATTCAAGGCTGTGAATCATTGGTCTTTAAACGATAGCTATTAGATAGTAAGTATTGCACTTCTGGGGAACAGTCTTTCTGAGAAACAGTTAGGTCAAGAAAATATGATGCTGTCTTCTTTTTGTATTCCTAAGATCATGTCAGGGTGTCACAGTGATGCTTTATTCTGAAATGCCAATGGTAAGAGCAATTACATTACTTATAAAAATGATCTATTTGTTTGGGAACAGGGCATAAGTATTTCTTATTCATCAACAGATTTTTGCCTGTTTCTGCCTATGAGCCAGAAAATGTGCAGACAGAGAATGAAAGGAAAATAAACACACACTCAGTGTGGACACAGAACCCACTGTCTTCATTAAAACCAGACTGATGGGTGAGTGAGGTGGTAGAGCAAGGAGCTATAGAAAGTAAAAGACATGTTTACTGATGTGGAAAATTTAAATGCTTCACATATGAAGAAGAAAATGTTACGTCAGCAAGAACCTTCGTGTGGGTCATCAGATAGTCTCCCAACTCTACAAACTTTACAAACCCACAGCAGAACAGGGTTCATCTACTAAGCTTGGCAGCATCACACACAGTGGATGAAGGAAGGTGTAGGGCACTTCTATCCCTTTATTACAAGAAGGTACACCTTTAATGGGTCTCTTAGTGCCTTACACATTCTTCTTGCCTTCTATGGGATGAGTTATCCTTGGTGAAAAAAGGAATGCTGGAATTAATCAAGTCTTTAGAAGCAGATATAAAGCCAAGTGCCAATAAAACTTGGTTTGAAGTCTATCTTAAACAGAACTGAATTGAAGACCTTGTTTGGCTGTTCAGAATCATTTTTATATCAGTTTAATAAATACAGATAAGTATTTTGTTGCTTAAGAATTTCATACAAACCCATAATGTGCTTTAACTAAATCTACCCCCCAAATCACTCCCCTCCAGTTCCTTCCCATCCCCACTTTTTACTCTCAAATTCATGCACTATATTTTTCAACCCACCGAGTTCACTTTGTACTGCCTGTATGTGACATGGTTGACTGGACTGAAGAAGACCCACTTCACAAAATGGAGCTCATGCCTGCTGTGGGCAAAGAACATGGGGCTGGTTAGGTTATGGACTCTAGAGGAAAGCCTAGTCCTATTATTCTGCTAAATGGATACAATAATAAAGCTTATCTTTATACTCATAGATGCACTAATCTCTCTCAACTCTCATTAGAGAAAGCTCTTTCATCAGTAGATGGCAGTTAATACTGACACCCACAACCAGTCAACACGCAGAGACTAAGAAACTGTGGCATTCTAAGATCCTAAAGATCTAATTTTAAGATGAAACAGAAAGTAACTGTTAGGCCAAACAACATTAATCAAAACATGAACTCTGAGTGTTTTAATTTTGTGTAATTATACACACGTGCATATGTATGTGTGAATGTATAAATGGAAATAATATTTCCAGTGAGTATGTTTCCAATTTTAAAATACCTTCTTTGTCTTAGAGCTCCACCTTTAATAGTTGAATTGATGACCTAGGTGCCATAACACATATATGTAGACTTACACCTATTGACATTTTATCTCAATTATTTGGCTCATGCTTTTGCATTTTACTTCTTGAATTCAGTCTTAGAAATTTATTTCACCAGAAGGTAGAAATTACATCTGGTCTCCCTGACAGACAGAGATTGAGAACTCTTGAGAATAATTAGACCATCTGGTGCTATAAATCCAATACAAAGTTATGATCAGTGGATCTTGGCCTAATCTGTTCCCTACCTCTTGCATCTGAATTACCACAGCACAAAAGAATGAAAAGGGGCTGGTTTTTAAGGGATATTGCCACATCCTCCCTGTTCCTAGCAGGCAAAATACATATATGCAGTAAACTGGGATAATTAGGGAAGACT